GTAGTGGATCTGCATTCAATTCTTGCAGACCTTACTATATAAAATACCCAAAGAAAGACCAGACTTAACTGAGAATGGAATTTTAGAGAACATTCACTTATACATTCAAAGAAAAATTGTTAATATCATGGAAAAATACAGTGATTTGAACACATCTCGCAGAATATATCACACTAAATGTCTAAGCTATATATATAATTTCAACTGACATTGTGGATGTGATGGTAGTAGAAGAAAAACACATGGTAGAACAATTATCATTAAAACCAAGAGGTTAGCAATTAATTGGTGCAATCCTATAACTTTGGGCCAAGAATGTTCATATTTCAGTCGATCTACTAAAGGGGTTTTATGGTATCTCGGTCTATGTCGTTAATTGACCATTTCGACCATTGATACAATTCACAGTAGTAAACAATTCTCAGGAGCAAAAGGGTAAATGATTTAAGGGATCTTTCAAAAAGAAATTGCATCAGTAAAACTTAGGAAGGCATAATTGCATATCCAGGCCCAAGCTTCCATGCATGTTTCCCATCACATGTATGCAGCCATGTATGCCAAGCAAGGCTGGCCTCAGATGGGTGCCATGAATTTGCCACCCAGTCGTTATCAATATCTTGAGCGCCATATCAAAGTTAAAAATTCTTGTTCTTGACATGAGAGCAGATCTACCACGCGACATAAAGAAAGCATGACCAGCCTGCCAGACAAACCAAATCTTAAGCCAAGATTATTTTATTCTTATACACAAGTACATCTCAGCCACCAGCGGAACACATGAAACATAATTATTTCTGCCAAACTGCTGTGCGGACGATAAACAGGCTGCACGACAGCTGCAGCCAGTCATCCCTTTGTTTGGTTTATTTATTATTATTAGTCCTTCCGAGGGGCTTAAATTTGACCCAAAAATTGACTCATAAAACACAAAATATATGCCATAAAAAATATCATTGAAATTCATATTCAAATGAAGTTCCCAATGGTAATACATTTTGTGGCATATAACATATAATTTGTGAGTCAAATTTTGGGTCAAAGTTAGGTTAAAAAATCGAGATGTAAACCCAAACAGAAGTATCTTACATGACTGTAATCTACTAGAAGGGGACAGACGAATGCATAACAAAACCAAGAGTTCTTACATGACTGTCATCTAATAGGAAGGGGACAGGCGAATGCATAACAAAACTAAGGGTTCTTACATCACTGTCATCTAGTACTAGGAAGGGAACATGCCAATGCATAACAAAACCAACAGTACTAAGTCAAAGTACCCAGTTGATCACGTCCTTGACAAAAGAGTAACATGTGGACTTGTGCTTGATCATGCGGAGGCCATTGTCATCGCCGCGCAAAATCTGTACGCCAGTGAGCACCGCAAACTCCTCATCAGATGTTTCATCGACCTCAATAGTCTTGGCAACACAAAACTTGCCATCGCCAAGGTATACCAGTTCACAAGACGTTGCACACCAGCCCTCTTCCTCGGGTGGGTTCGGATCCTCAAAGTGCTGCAGAATGGGTGGTGGTTGTTTGTCCTCCATGGCAGAAAGGTCCAGAGCGCACAAGTGTTTATGGCCGTCTGCCGAGAAGCCGAACCATAGGTTGAACTCAGGGATGTACTTGGCTTCCCCATGAAAGGGCAGAGTCCACTCGCCGACGTGCATCCATTGCTCCACGTTCCTCGATGTGTCAAAGGAATAGGTGCCAGTGCGCGTGTCCTCAAATGACATATAGATGGTGGAGCACCTGTTGGTCTTGTTAACCATGCTTGTGTAGGAGGCGATGACGGAGGGTTGGTAGTCTGGTTCGAGGACGAATGGAGGCGGCCGAAGAACCCGCCAGCGCCAGCCTCTATGCATTTCGCGCACTTCTTGACCGCCGGTCCTAGGCCCGTGCTCAAGGACCTCGAAGCAGGAAACAGTGTAGTCCTCGCTGGAGCCATATGCATCCATAGACTGCCCGAGGTACCTCTCCATGACGTAGAGGCTGTTCTCGGCGGCGCCGGGTATGGGGATGGAGAGACACACGGGGTTCCACCCCTTGGGCTCGTTGATCCAGGGCAGATGAAGGAAGAGACGCTCGTCGGCATCGTACAGCATGCTTTCGCCGGCCACGTTTGCGCCTACGATCCTGCCTTCGCTGCCGCGGCTGCCGAGGAGCGCGAACAAATCCATGCCGCCCATGTTAGGCAGAGTGGTGGGGGATGGGGAGAAGCTCACCGCTGGCTCGGGAAGAGAAAGGGTCTGCATTTCCAGAGCACAATCCTTGGTCTTGTTCGCGATCGATGCTGCTGGCTCACCTCCCGATTCGTAGAAGAGATGCTTGTACGGGTCGATTCGCCGCACCGAATGGACGCCTGTGGAAGTATTCTTCACCACCACATTGAGAAGCCGCCGCATCATCTTCGATCGTCTGCGCCCCAATAATCGCAGCCTTGCAGATAAAAGGGAAAACAATGATCAATAGTTTGGTGAGACGCTTAAAAAGACAAAGGCTTTCGCCGAATAACATACCTGAAAACCAAATGATCAACGAACAAGGTGTTTTGCCAAGAGAAATAGGAGGGGATTGGTGCGGCGGCGGAGACTGGGAAGGGGGAGCTTAGGTCTTTTGGGATTACCCTAGTTCCGTCCTTCTTATTTTTTTTTGAGCAAATTCCGTCCTTCTTATATATACTACCATGGAGACTCTTTGCCTACATGGGCCCCTGGCCCAACTAGCAGAAAGCCTGGTTAGATTGCAAACTATCGCACGTCGCGGCAAACTGTCCGCACAGGGGTGCCCCCGACTGGACCGGCCCATTTTATTTTTCTTTTGTTTTTTCTGTCCTTTCTGTTTCTTTCGGCTTTTTATTTTTCGTTATTTTTTTATTTTTCCTTTTACTTTTATTTTTTATTCCTTTCATTTTATTTTTTATTTTTTGTTAAAACTTTTCAAAAGTTGTTCAGGTTTCAAGGAAATATTTTCCATTCCAAATATTTTTTGTAAATTTCAAAAAATGTTTGTGTTTTCAAATTTTGTTGGGACTTTCAAAAATTGTTTGGAAATTTAAACAATGTGTGTTTTCAAATTTTGTTAACGAGCTTCACAAAATCTTCATGTTTCAAAAATTGTTCACAAATAAAAAAAATATTTATGTTTTCTAGTTTTGTTAAGGAGGTCCAACAATGTTCCTGTTTTCAAAATATGAGCAGCAAGATAGTATCTCTCGTCGCTCCCCCCTGCACTGAAATCCTAGGATTTCCCGCTGCCACCGACCCTGCCTTTCTTCCAAGCCGACGACATGGGCACCGACGATGCTCGGTAGACACACTCCTCCCCCCGCCTTCCTCTACTCTGCCCCACCCCAGCCCCTCCTCTGTACAACGCGAGGGCTACACACAATCGTTGCTCGTCCTCTCAACAGGGGACTCCGACCAAGCTTCCTCACAATGTCGGTTAAGCTCCCCATCGCCGCGCCAAGTAGCTTGCCAAGCAGGCCGACCCAACAAGGTGAACAACTCCTCTGCCTTCTATCCCCTTCTTGTTATTCCTTGAGCACATGCTTGTTTTTTTAGTGTACGAAGAAGATTAGTTATCAGTGTATATAGAAAATATTGCTGTTATTTGAGTATATGAAACAAAAATGCTTGTATATGATGTTCTGTCATGAAGAAAGAATAGATAGTGTGGGTCTGACCTTGTTTAATTTCAGATTCTTGTATTTGTTTTGTATGAGTTGCCATGGTTGTATGTAGCTCATGATGTGTTGCCATGACTGTATGAATTGCCATGGTTGTATAGGACTCATGGTCTACTGCCATGAGTGTATGAATTGCCATGGTTGTATAGGACTCATGGTCTACTGCCATGAGTGTATGAATTGCCATGGTTGCACATAACTCCTGATGTACCACCATGAGTGTATGAATAAAAAAAAATCTTTTGTATTGGCACCAACCTTGTTTAATGGTGAATCATCCTCATCATCACATGATACAAAGTTGAAACGCAAACTAAGATAATTATCGCATGTGTGTGTCTTCATAACTATATTCGTGAGAGCAAACTAAGCGATCAACAATTCGACATGATTGAGATGGGATCTTATGCTCATGAAGAAAGCTTTTTTCATCACTTTGCACCAATTGATGAAGGAGATATGGGTACCATACGTGTTTCTATTTGTTGTGTGTGTCTTTCCTTGATTGTTACTGGTGTATGCTTGTGATGCCCCCGACTTAATCGTGCACTAATCATACACGCAAATACGCACGATCAAGATCAGAGACTCACGGGAAGATATCCCAACACAATTCTAGACACAAATTAAAGTCATACAAACTTTATATTACAAGCCAGGGGCCTCGAGGGCTTGAATACAAACGAGTCAATGGAGCAACAATATTTGAGTACAAACATAAGTAAACAAGTCTGCCTTAAGAAGGCTAGCACAAACATCAACACTGATCGAAAAGGCAAGGCCTCCTGCCTGGGAGCCTCCTAACTACTCTTGGTCGTCGGGGTCTCCACATAGTAGTAGGCTCCGTCGGGGTAGTAGTAGTCGACGACGGTGTCAGTTGGCTCCTGGACTCTGTCATCTGATCGCAGCAATCGGGTGTAGGGGAAAAGAGGTAGCAAAGCATCCGTGAGTATTCATCCAAAGTACTCGCAAGACTTACATCAGATCTATACTAAGTATCCATCGGTATCAAAGGAATGGGGATATATCTTTGGACTGAACAACAAAAACGCCAGAAGAGAGGGGAAAGCCTAGCTTATAGAATACTAGCATCTTGAAGCATCTTGCAGCATTAGAAGAGTGCAAATTAGCATATTATAAGTAGCAAGTATATTTATTAACGCCCAGAGATTCTTCCTTGACTCCCTACGAGAAAGCAATCCCGGAGCCATCATATCCTTTTCATGCTTCTAGCATCCAGTTCTAGTTGTGTAGATAGGGATACAACTCCGAGCGTCCCTTATCATGGACACGACTATCCGAATAGATTAACTTCCCTGCAGGGGTGCACCAACTTAACCAACATGCTCGATTAACTCCGGTTGGAGACACCATCAGGTCATGACTGTCCTCGGTTGATCGACACACTGTAGTCCTACCTAGGCTCAACATAGAAGCCAGCACGCTGGTCTATATCCTAAATGTGAAGGGGTCATGGGCCAATCGTCCTTTGCAATCCTACATGTTGCGAACGTGACCTGGGCAAACCCACCCCCTTATACAAGCGCATGTGGTTCTCGTCCAACCGGGCGCGCGCCGCTAAACCGCTGACGTCTAAGAGCTTTCGGAAGAATCGTACGATGTAGAGTGCCCATACTTATTCCCGCGTGGTGCTAGTGCGAAAAGGCCATAGGCCTACTCGGATCACATATCCAAACCGTTAGTGTCTTGGGAGCACACGGTAACGATCAATGATCCACGACATGTGGTCTCGTCGCCCCGTCTCACGGACTTACGGCAAGGGCTAAGAGTGCCCGGCCATGCCGCGTAGTTATCTCGCGAGTACCCTCCAGGCCAACCTGACTTCACATCACTCGCGGGTACCCCTCGGGGTTGACCCGTCTTTCATATTGCTCTAGGGTAAAGTCAAAGTAACCGTGTGTCCATAACATCAAGGGGGGGTCCGAGGAATCACCCTCGATGTCCACTCGATGTAACTGTCAAGGTGAACTTGGAGGAATCACCCTCGAAAGTTCATACTTGAAGTATTGCACGACAGAGTCGTTATCGGAAGTGGTGAAGGAGGAATCACCCTCCATAGACCATGACCGATTATCTATGATGACCCACAAGTATAGGGGATCAATCGTAATCCTTTCGATAAATAATAGTGTCAAACCCAACGAGGAGCAAAAGGAAATGACAAGCGGTTTTCAACAAGGTATTTTTTGCAGGCACTGAAGTTATCAGTAACAAATAGTTTTGTGATAAGATAATTCATAACGGGTAGCAAGTAACAACTGTAGCAAAGGGGCAGCAAGGTGGCCCAATCCTTTTTATAGCAAAGTATAAGCCTGGACGAACTCTTATATGAAGCAAAGTGCTCCCGAGGACACATGTGAATTATTGTCAAGTTAGTTTTCAGCATGCTCATATGATTCGTGTTCGTTACTTTGATAATTTGATATGTGGGTGGACTGGTGCTTGGGTGTTGTCCTTACTTGCACTACAAAAAAAATACACTTCCGCGATGATACGTGTTTGTCGCAGTAGGTCACGTTTTCTGTCATGCATGTACATCCATGACGATTTTATGACAGAATCAAGATAGTCATACCTGTGTTGTGGTAGAAGTGTTCCATGACAATACCAAAATTATCATCAAGGAAGTGTCCACTTCCATGACGATAAATGGCGTGTCACGGAAGTGCTTTCGTCAAGGGTAACCGACATGTGGCATCCACCGTAACGGGTCGCTGTTAAGCTATCGGGTTCCGGTTTGGATCCAATAACCCGTTAACAACTCGGACCAATGGGGATTTTCCACGTGTAAAATTCTCAATGGCCAGAGGAACCATGTGTCAGCTCAGCGTTGGGATAGATGTCATCCACTCATTGGACGAGAGGCACCTATGATATGTCGACATGTGGCACGGCCCAACAGAGGCCCATTCAGGTGCAAAGGCCGGCCAGTTTGACCTGCTCAAAAGGTAGCGGGCCGGCCCACGGAAAGCCTGTTAATAGCCTGTTCGCATATAGCCCATTTACAGCCCGCTAACTCATGGCCTGTTATGGCCTATCCAAATTGGGCCCAGCAGCGTTATCTGGGCCGTCCTATATGATTCTAGCCCGTTGTAACTTCCGGCCCATGTATGGCCCATGACGTCTTTTGGCCCATACGAGGCCCTTTGTAAGGGCATATTTCTCCCTATGTGGTTTTGGTGATTGGTGACAATGCATTTGCGGACTAATCGTGTGCATTGAGCATTTTAGAGATCTCATGTCTAGGCACAAGACGATTCGGTGCCCCTCGGAGCCTATCGAAGACGGCGGTTTTCTACTTTCTTTTCGGTGGATTTGAGTCGTAGGAAAGCCGTACTATTAAGAGGGGGTCCACTTCGGAAAGGTTAGGGTGGAATCAAAACATACACATTTGTTCCTTTGCACTACCTTTCCTTCACTTCTTCGGAGCACCGGTCGTTTACCCTTATCTATGCGAAGATGAAGGCCTCCAAGTGCTATAGTTTCTATGGCGTGCAGTAGTACTGCTCAAGGGAGCAGTAGTACCGCAGTTGTCCATGGTAGTACCGCCAAGGGAAGTTGTAGTATCGCGCTATGCGATAGTACCGCTCCTCCCGAGCAGTAGTACCGTGGCCTCTAGCCCAGAACGCTGACATGCAAGGAAGTAGGTGTGGAAGTAATTTTTTACTTCCATGCCATACGCGGTAGTACTACTCCCTG